AAATGTGAAATATGTAGTTGTTTGATTTTATTATAGACATTGTTGTTGGTTCTATTGTTGTTAATTTTTTTGGTCAATAATATCGTTTTTATTAATAATATGAGTTTTAGAAATTTAGTTTTACCATTTAATTATTATATATATGTAAATGTGTCAAATCAAAATGTAATACATTAGAGTTAAAAAATGTTAAATTTGGCTTGTCCGAATATCTTAAGTAGTATTTAAAATACAAATAAATTATTGAATATTTTAAAATATTAAAGTATATAATCATAAATTTTATAAATAAAACACAGATAAAAAAATGTTGTCTTCGAATAAAAAATATTATTATTACTTTCAAATTTTCTAGTATAAAAAAAAAATTCAAAAGAACTACATTTTTTTATAAACTTGGGAATTTATTTTACAAACATATCAAAATCTCTTTTACAAATTTGTTCTTGTGTAGATTTTACTAAAGATTTTCATATTTTTAAATTTGGAGCTAATTATACATAAATTCCGGACCCATTATTAATTAAATATTGAAAAATGCTATTTTTTTTATTAAAAACTTTCAATATTTCCATTTATCAAAGATTTTCATATTTGAAAATCAGAATTGATGATACATAAATTTAAGAGCAGCCAAATTCAACACTTTTAAATTTATAATTTCTCATACATTTTATTTCTGAGATATTCTTAAATTTTGGGTAGGCAAATTTGTGGAGATAACGATTTTTATAATCTTGTAAACGTTAGATTAATCTTTTGTAGATTTTACTAAATATTATCGTATTTTTACTTTGGAGTTGATGATGATATATAAATTTACATTTGGATCAAAACGACATGTAATCTATTTATTTAATTGATTTTTTTGGTTAAACAGACTTTTTTAGAAATAAAGTAAGATCTATTAAAATCCAAAAAGAAACTATTTTTAAAAGTAACAATAACTAAAATCCCTAATCAAATAATCGAAAGAAAACATGTAAAAATAATCTTCTATTCCGTGAGATTATTTTTTGATAATCACTTCTTAACTTTATTAATGGAGTCATCATCTCATCCTCCTTTTGAACTTGGGCTAATTTTAATTATTGAATTTGGGCTAAGTTTAATTAGGGATTAATAGACTAAATTAGAGAGAATGTCATGTCATATTTTAAGGGATGCCGTGTCACATTAAAATTGGGAGAATGATTTTGGTGAAGACATCTAAGATTTTTTTGAAAAATCACTCTCCAATTATGATTTTTCTGAAAATTATTGTTAATCTAATTTGTTAATCTACCTATAAGGCAAAAAAAAAAAATTAATACTGTACAAAATAATCCGAATACTTGGCTCTATTTTCAATTCTTCTCGTAATTTTAATTAGCTCTATTTTTTATTGATCTGTTTTGTTTGGAGTTAAATATATTTATCCTATTTTATTGTTTTATTGAGTTAAATTTTAAAATTGCAAAAAATAAATAAGATCGATTATTCATATTGTAAAGCCAAAAAACATTAATTTGTAAAAGTAACAATGACTAAATAAACGAACGAAATTTAGGAATACATAATTTAAAATCAAATCTTATTAGGAAGGCCACTAATAATATTCTTTTCCGGGAGATTAAGTTTTTGATACTAACGTACTAACTTCATCAATGGAGTCGTTATTATCATCATTCTTCTTCACTAATACATTAACATAATCTTGTTCCTTCTACTTATA